CGAGTATCGTATGAAGGGGAAAAAAATTTTTGAATTGAATCCAATTTGGACCGCCCTGTTTGCGTTTGTGCCACAAATTACGGATTTCTTTTCTATCCCTTTCACCCATCGAGATGTTACCAGTTTTTATATGAATATGTTTCGAGAAAATGTAGAATACAGACAAAGTCATAATATCGTCAGACAAGACTTTATGAATCTACTCATTCAACTCATGGAGAGAGGCTATGTTGAACCTGACGATGACAAGACCACCAATATATCATGTTAATATACATATTTATTTATATATTTTCATCAATATCTTCTCTATGTATCTTGAAAATGTAAACATATTTTTTTGCGTTACACTTTTGCAAATCAAATAATTAATTTTAATTTTTTGAAATGTGTATGTGTATTATATTCATATTATGTATATGTATCATGCATACTATATATACATATATATAATTAAAACTTTTTAATGTGTTTTTCTGTCTCCATACGTGATTACTGATTATTAACAAAATTATATTATATTATATTATTTACAGCAATCGTAAGCAAACTTACCATGGCAGAAGCTGCTGCACAAAGTTATCTCTTTTTTGCAGCTGGATTTGAAACAAGTTCGACGACAGCTACATTTGCTCTGTATGAATTAGCTCAACATCAAGATATACAAGAAAAAGTTTGCAACGAAATCGATAAAATATTAGCAAAACATGATTGTTTGACCTATGATGCTATAAATGAAATGACATATCTTCACAAAGTAATAAATGGCAAGTAGATCATCGCATATTATTTCTAGTTATTGGATGACGCAATTTTCAAGAAAAACTAAAGATATATATTATTTTTGAAAATATATTGTCATTTATAAGAGTATAGCCTCTATCGGTGCAATGTGAAATTTAATCTAGATTCCTGAAATAGATCTTTAAAGTCCACAACAGACTTTCTTATTGTTCATCTATAATCTAAAATCTAAAATAATTCATGTGTACTTGTGAAATCTTTTATCAACAAGTT